GGGAAAAATAGTGAAAATAATTTATTTTCAAGTTATTTTTTAAACATGTTTATAATTTAATGTGATATTTTCAAAATATGCTATTTGCAGCATATTGTAAGGGACATATTGTCTAATTTTACTATGATAATAATTTGGAAGTTCTAAAAATCTTATATTATTAGAATTTGCATCTTTATAGATGTTGTTTTTTATTCTATAATGATGATTTTCAATTTTTTATTTCTTGATCATTTGAAAAAAAATATATGATATATGACTGCCTTTTTTTCCTATCTTATATTCTTGTATCTCGCATTATGACAATTTCTTGTTACATTATTGTCAAGTCGAGAGTTTTCAGACAAGAAAAGAATTCCAGCTTAAATACATCAACATACATGACATCTTACTGTTTCTTTTTATACTTGAAAATTAAAGTAGTTAAAAATTTATCATTACAGCATTAGATAATGTCTAAAAAGTCCTAATATAGTATAGTCCAATAAAACAAGACTTCCAGAATTGTTACTAACAAGTAAACTTTTTGTATCAGATGTCAAAAATGTCAAAGTGTCAGACTCAAAGTGTCAGATTGATTTTTTTCATTCTTTTGATTTTGAATTAAGATTTATTAAAAGATGATTTTTCATGCAAAAAATTGCTCAATATTAACTGTTGCGCTTATACATGTCTCATTTTGAATGACGGAATAAAATACTTCGGCAATAATAACACATTTCTCCGACAATGTTTCGGACAAAAGTTGCTTAGTTTTAAAAGAAATGTAAATAGCAATCTTTATTTGACCTTGGGAATTTTTGTAAAGGTCAAAGTCTCAATTAAATTTTTTTAATGGAATTGAATATGATTATACGTAAATCGATTTCTCTCATCATTTTGCGTATAGTGCTAGTACAAAATTACATTAATTTCAGTTAGTTTGTTTGGTAAAATTACAACAATTACCTGTTAAACAATTTTCTAATATTTTATTATTGATTTTTAATACAATTAATCATTAAAATTGAATTTAATAAAATTAATATTTTATTTTATAAATTCTATTAAAAATTAATAATACTTAAATACGTTTTATTTAATGCTTGCAATGCTTTCAGAATCATTTTATCAAATGTTAAACAAGAGTCATCATAGTCATTTTCTTATCACTCGACTATGAATTGATCAATTTCTCTTTGCACATTTATATTCTACTTGGTATTTGATCAATCTAACTAAACATTTATATAAATATTTTATATAGTATAACTTACTAATTTTATTAATTTTATATCATCATATTTGAAGTTTAACATTTAAATATAATTATTATGTATTATGTAGAATATGGAAAATGACTTTTTCATAATCTAGTCGGATAGTAGGATTATCCGACTATCCAACCGGATTATAAAAAAATA